TGGGCCGCTCCGGGGCTGGCACCGGGGGGTGAGCTGCAGAGGGAGGACAAAGCATGGTTAAGCCCCACATGCACTGCCAGACCTGGCCCTTTGGTGGCCATCACTGCCACAAGGTGCCAGGGCCCAATGGAGAGCTAAGCTCTTAGCCTTAACCCAGGATATCTCAGCCTGCAAGTGTTTTTGTCTAAATCCTAGAAATCCTCCTTCTGCCTATGAAAGGCCTGTCTGCAGTCACCAAATGGTGCAGTCACTAGTTCTCCCTAGTGATGTGACTGGGGAATGGCCTGACCATCCCTGCCCGTGCTTGGAAATAAATAAATAGCCTACTGTGCTTTTAAAATACCTTATCTTGTCCCAGTTGAGCTGTTTGCTGAACATCCAGAACCCTCTCCTAACCCGATAGGTTTTGGAGCAACACAACATGGGGCCTAAAGGGTTAGCCCAGATGATCCACGCTGACTTCGCAGACTGCAATTACAAAGGAAGGTCTCTCGTTTCAGCCCTAACAAAATGATCATCAGCACATCAGTGTGCTGCGCAAGATAAATTAAGCAGAAATACACCAGAGGATTTCTGAGCTCAGCCTCGTCTCTGCCAGCAAAGTCCCTAAGGGACTATGCAGTGCCTTTTAATCTTGCTTCCCCTGCTGAGCAAGCCCTGCCTACAAGCACTAGGAACCAGGAATTAGCACTCGTCTGTTTAACGGTGACCGCAACACACTGCTGAGGTCATCCCTCCAGGGATTCGGGAGCCTGTTGCATGCTTCATGTTGCAAAAAATGTGACAAAGCTCCAGGTCCATTTCCACAATGATGTTGCCTTTGACTTCCAGGTTGGTTGATAGCTTAGGGGCAACTTACATAAAGCTCCGTTTCAAGTATGTACAGACCAGAAGCAGAGTCCATACTCTGACATTCCCTCACAAATGATTCAATAGTAAGACTGGCTGGAAAATGCCCATTTCACAAATGATTTCAAGGTTTCATAATCTGGTTTAGTGCTGCCTCAGAGCAAAATTTGAACCTTTGAACATTTTCCTGAGCACAACCTACTCACTCACCCCACAATAGCCTCTATTCTGGTCAGTGCATTCACATGGGATGTGAAAATGTAGGATCCGGTCACTGAGCTGTTCTCCTCTGTGGAGAACAGCTCTGGGCAGCTGTCTATTCCCTTTGCAACCCGAGCCAGGACAGCTTCATGGCTGAAGTCTGCTTGAACTACATCCATCCCTGACAAAAAGCTTTGAGTCCAACAAATCAGCTTTTCTTTGACAGAGAAGCATTTTTCTGGAAAATTTCTGACCCTCTCTGATCTGTGGTTTTCTTAGAAATTCATCCAAAGGATACATTTTTATGCAGGACCAGCTCTAGTTCACTCTATCTATAACTAAACAACAACGTTGAAACAACTCAAACCTCTATTTTCTGTTTCTATGGTTAACAGCAGCACCCATTACTGGGGATTCAAACGATAAGGAGTGCCATTAATCATACTCACTAGACCAGCTGAGCACTCCTGCCAGGAGGGAATTTCATCCCCCAGCCTTATGCCCTACTATCCAAAGCGATACTGAACATGATGGGCCAGTGATCATCAGATTAGCACCTCCAAAGTTTTCACGATTCTCCCTCACGGTAACTCCTTGACTCTGTAACATCTCTTTTTATTAATGTTGCTCATAGTAAATCAACCAAACTACCATTAACCAGTCTTGATTTTGATGTTATTTTACCATGTAGCATGAGGAAGGGCCTTTTAAGTTGTTATTACAGATACCTTCAAGACTATTCTTACTATTAGTTACCGTTTCCTCCTCCCTGGATTACCAGGAACATGTACTGGAAAGTGCAATTCCTTTCCAGAGCGCCAGACAGGGCACCACTGGTTATCTTGAAGCGATTCCCTCCTCCTGATTTTCCCATTTGGAACCAGTGTGATGAGCAGCCACTGCTGCCAGAAATCTAATTTTCCGGGGTGGTTAAGCTTGCAGGGTCAAGGTTTTGAACTACTCATTGTAGGGAGCAATGGCTTTCCTAAATTTAGAGGAAAAGCACAATAATGGAATTTCACTGCATGGTACCTGGATGCAGAAGACTGATTTGATAATCATATTAGGCACATTACTCCTTTCATACAGGACTTGGTGTTTCCAGATGCAAAGGAAACAGAAAACATGAGAATCAGTAAAATAAATGGCCTGATAAAAAAACCCCAAACAACTCAACTCTGAAAAAACAACTCCGAGCAGAGCTCTCATTGTAATTTCATCTGCTTACTGTTACAATGTATGCCTTTGCTCTGGGATCTCTGGATCTGGACTGTGCTGCATCAAACATGCTATTAATTAGCAATGCTCACTGAAGGCTATTTTTGTTCTACACCACTCGTATTTCATTTTGGGTGTATTCCTACATTAGTGGCCTTGTGCAAAATTGATTTGTTACTCATGTATATTGCAAGCCAACAGAAACGTGATTTGAATACTGTGCCAGCTTGCTTCTCTTGGAAAGCTTTTCCAAAAGTCAGTGTGCATTGCCCTGTCTGCAGGACTAAACAGACCTTTTGAGGGGCTCTGGTCCACAGGGAATACTGGTGAGAGCTTCCATTATAGAGAAAAATACTGATAATCATGACAAATTTCCTTTATTTATCCTGGCAAAGATTTATTTAATTAAAACAACAATCTTATGAACCTTCTGGAAGGGCTGGAGAACTCCTCACTTAGGATGTTTTGGAGGAGCTCTGTGGTCCCTGAATCATCCTGTATGCCAACTCCTTGGGACTTGAAGATGTCAGAGTTACCTGGAGGAGCAATCTTAAATCAGGGAAGCTGCTGGAGGTGTAGCACAGCAGTGCCGTGGAAGGAAGGTGTGGAGCATGCCAGGTGTGTGGGGCAAAATGATCTGTCACCTCAGTTTCAGGGGAGTCCATTTGCCTGTTGGCATGGGCACAGGAGGCACCAGGAGCACCTGAACGCTTCCTGAGAGCCTTGCCGAAGAGAGGACATTTCTGCGTTTGCACTGTGGGAGCAGAAGGGCTTTTGGAAGGGTGTGACTTGAGGGGAAAGCAACACTTTCTGAACTAGACAGAGGATAAATTGATTATTCCCCAGTGTGACACGGATGCCGTGTAAAGTCCTGCCACTGTTTGTTGAGCAGAGGAGTCTGCACTGTTCAAGATTCAGATTCACATGTATTTGATTACATTTTCTTCTCTTTGCTCTGGACTGTGTAGGAGGTGAGATTAGATGGTCATAATGGTGCCTTCTGGCTTCAAAAGGTATGAATCCATGACTTACACTGTAGTGTATTTCTCACTTGTGCCTGCTCTGTTTTGCATCTTAAGACCTCAGTTTTCAGCAGTCACAGTCCTTACTGATCTGCCTTTGTAAACACAATGGCTCACATCCCTATAAAATATCAGAAACAAAGTGTCTTAAATTTCGCTATAAAGTTCCACCACAGGATTTACTTTTACTTTATTCAACATCAGAGCTGTTTAACATCAGGGAAAGGGGAATAAATTGTACTCTAGAAAATTGTGCTGTACATCAGAAAGGGAGCCTAGAAAGAACAGAGGCCCCCTGGTGTGAGAAGCTCTTATTCTCATTTCAAAAAGGTGGCAGTATTTTTCAGATCTTTTGCTTTATCACTAACACCACGTCCTGTTCTGCCTAATAAATACCTTTCATCCCTGAAGCCCGACGAAATGCTTCTTAATTTTAAGTTGTGTATTACTTACTCTGCGATAAGGGCAGAATTTTTCCTTCAGGAAGCCAACCGGACTCAGAACTGTTAATCTCCTCAGTATGCAGGGTGCTTGCTTTCACTCAGATAAATTGTATAAATATTTGTAAACACTATAATCTATTTCAGCTGTAGCAACAGAACAATCTGATAAACACAACGTGGTTCCCAGAGATCAATAGAAGCCCATAAATATTACAAGCAAGTAAAACATACTCTATTCCACATTGACTGATCTGTGACTAAAACGAGAAAGCAAGCTGCAGGGACGGGCAGATTCGAGAGGCTTGTGCTCGAGGGGTACG